CCCCGCCTCCCCCGGCCTTAACGCCCGCCCCGAGCACCGAGACCCCCGCCCCGGGAGCCGCTGCCTCGGAGCGCTGCTCCCGCTCCCCGCAAAGCCCCCGCACCCTCTCCCTGCGCTGCTCCGTGCCCTGGGGAACCGGGTCCTGCTCACTTCTACCCCTCTTTTTTTCGTGCCTTTTCTTTTTTCCCTCCTTCCCGCAGTGTTCGGTAATTAACTCGATTTCTTTCTTTCACCCCTGGTTTTTAAGACCGTTATTTCCCCCTCCTTTTCCTCTGGCTTCCTAAAATCTCATCTCGCACGTTCCAAAGCCTCTTCTTTGAAGCGTCACTTTCATTATCCTGGGAAGATGATCTCTTGAAGTCCTGAAGCACAACTTTAGCGAGTGATTTTTAGCTGTTCCCAGCCACTTGGCCGAAGGTATCATAGAGCTGGTAAACGGGAACCCCAATAGTGTGGGTAAGAGAGGATGAAACAGGGGAGCACCCAAGAGGTTCCAGGTGAATTTAGCTCTGATGCAGGAGGGTCTGTTAATTTCTCACAGCATCGACTCCACTTACCCCACGGAACCATCTGATTTCTCTCTCCTCACTCACAGCCTGCTCCCCAGCGCTGCAGGTTCCAACAGACCATGGCTCCTTGGTTTTGGTGCTGGACACGCTGTGCCTGACCTACGGAGCCCCACAGGACCTGGGGCGTTCCAGAGCAGGTGGAAAAGCTGGGGAGGCAGCGTGGGTCTGGCACTGATGGCACAAAGCCAGGTCTCATAAACCCAGCTGGATCCAGGCTGGCTCTGAGCTGGGTGTTTCTGCTCCTTTCCATCCCTCGACGCTTCTGGTTGTGGGAAAGTGGCGCTGAAATACCTGAGCTGCCTCGGGATGGAGCCAGCCAGGTCCTCACAAAAGCAGATGTGCTCTTTCCAGAGCAGAGCTGGCCCTAGAAAGAGTGTAACTGCATTCACGTGGCACTCTGCCTTAGCTAATAAATCATGTTTAGACCCAAGCTAGCTTTTCATCCATGGCCTGGACAATCTGAGCACGGATAAATGAAGTCTGACCGTATGGTGTTACCCTACCGTACCGAGACCTCAGAACTTTTGACCATATTTATCAGTATAATATTCCTCTGAAGCAGGGAAGCATCAGTATCCTCAGTTTGCAGACAGAAGACTGAGTCACGAAGAGGCTGAAATAAAAAAGAGCCTGAAATCAAAAGGGATGTATGCAGCTGTCAAAACTTGGTCCTGAGTTTTCAAAGCTCTTGGACGGTGTTGTAACCCCTGGGCTGCCCTTCTGTATACTTATCTACTTTACTATAGCAGTACTATACTAGTTTAACTGCTAGTATGAAATGCAAAGACTTTTTAACATCACATTACAATATATAAGAATACCTTCTGATGTCAAATCTTTATTTATTGTAACTGTCATTATGGGGTTACAGTATGAGATCCCACTGCGCTACACAGAGCACCTCATACCTTTCAGGGTTGTCGTAATCTCAGAATTACAGAGACAGGAGCCATCAACTAATTAACACAGACCTAAGTACTAGGTCAGTCGAGGTCATTCTAGCTCCAGTGTCAGTGGTCTCCAAGTGGACTTGGAGTGGATGCTACGGGAAAGAGTGAAAAAAATGAGGCGTGTATATATGTGGTCTGTAGTCTTTATTTTCCCAAATCTACTTACACAGTGAAACTTTCCAAAGGAGAGAGAGAGAGAAATAACTTGTTGCAACAGAGGCCATATTTTATTTTAGTGGAGGATGATTACAGACAACCTGAGTTCTCCAAAAAGGTCCAGTCTCCATAATCACTCTAACTTCATGTGACAGGTTGTGTGCCACAGGTAGCTGAGACTGAGACTTTTTGCACTACTAGTACCTTTGGAGTAGACGGTTACAAGTTTCTGATACACAAATAAAAAGTGTGCTACCACCCTACAGATCCTCCCACGCTGCAATGCAAGGGAGAGAGATCAGAGTGCAAGAGGAAGGGGAAATCACACAGAAGGGTTAACTACACCTTTGTGAGGACTCCAGGAACTGATCACCTTTACTGTTTTCAGGTCTGCAGACCCGTAGGCTCTGAGTCTACAAGAGTTACCTGGAGATGAGTCTCCAAGTCCTTTGTGTAAACAGTGATATCAGGACCTCCCCACTAATAGCTCTGTTTCTGGATGTGTCTGAAATATATAAAAGTATAAATGGAGTTTCAGAAAGGTGCCCTTCTGATACAGAAGGCGACTGATGTCTCACAAAGTGTAGCACTGGCTGTCAGGGGAAACAGGTCTCAGACATTTCCCCGTTTCTTAAGGATGGATAGCCTGTCACCCTCCTCCAGCCTGGACTTCTTTGAAGGTCTCCCAGACCTGGAAAATAACCATGAGAAAAGTATACCCAGTGAAATTCCTAGCCTTTGAGGCCAGGAGCAAGCCTCAGCACTGAGTTTTTCCTGTATGCAGTGGAGGAGGCAGTAGCCCAGGTGGGAGCCAGCTCTGCGGAGGAAGCCTGCAGTCAACGGCTCAGGAGCTGGCTGGGATTTCAACATCCAGTTTGAGCCAGGCAGGTTAGACCACCCCCAGGCAGCCCACATCACACCTGGCAGTACTAGCCATGGGCTAGCTATTCTATTGTGCCAAGTAAATACAGGACATGGCTACTCCCTCGTGTCCGCTTGATGTGATTTACACCAAGAGACAGCTGATGGGGAACATCTGCAGACAGTGAGACACTGGTGGCCCGTAACAGGCAGGCGGCTGAGCTGGAGTGGCATTTTCAGGAATTTGGTAGGTAACACAGCTATGACAACTTTCAAAGAATATAATTAAATAATTTTTTAAAAAGTATTTATCAAGAGCTCTTTCTAAGCATGATGGGCTGCTAAGGAGACAGTATGAGAGCACTTGTATGAAAGATCCAGAATTTGAATGATGAAGGCTGGATCAAATGGTGACTCGAGGTAAACTCCCAGTATCGCATGAGGAATGATGGGCAAGAAGTGCTTTCATGGAGAAGACAAGCAGCTTATGCTGCCCATTATGAGCAAGAATGAGTGGAAGTATGCGAGGAAAAGAGCATTACAATCAAAGTTGACGGCCAAGAGCACAATGCTAGATAGACAGCAGGCTAAATCAGATTTAAATCCAGAGAACATCATGTTGCAAAAACCAAGATATTTGGCAATAAGATCTACGTGATAGTTTTGACATTACAATGGATGGAAAATTCCTGTTTTAAATATGCTATGTGGAAAGAATCTTCGTTCTACCTACAGTTTGGTTGTCAAACCTGCAGATAAATCTCAGGTTCCATTACAGAAATAATATCTGGATTTGTGTTTTCAGGGAAGACTGCCCAGAGATAGAGGGTAGAAGGAAGAAAGAAGAGAAACACTGAAGACACTAATCAGCCCATCAGGCAGCTGGAAGGTGGATGAGGATCACCAGAATATCCCCCTTGGGTGAGCTTCTGAAGGAACAATAACAGGAAACAAAGGCCAAGGAAAACAAGAAGCACGGAGCTAATAGAGGACATAGCTAGCTATTTATGATGGTCAATACATCAAGAGGAATGAAGGTAATTTTGAGAGATGATTAAGAAAAAAATCATTAAAGACTTTGGGAAGGATGGTGTCAGTGATGCAGAAGCTGAATCAGAAACTGCAGAACCCAGAGCTTGTTTACAGTCAGAAGGAAAAGAGCCAGGGGGCTTGAGAGGTTAAAGAGCAGATGAAGGAAAAGTACTGGGATGGGTTCTGTAGGATGTCTTAGGCCTTTGTGTCTGTAGTCCCACTGAAATCAACAGAGAAGAATTCACTGTAGGCATGGCACTGTGCATGTGCCACGGGGCAGCTCTGGGGCACTAACAGACACCGCACACAGTCTAGGGGGGACTCTGTCAAAGTGAGGAACTGGGGAAATTATCCGACCTATAGTGTGTTTGATGAACGTGCTCATAGAAAGAATGCTTTAGTCAAGGCCCAAGAAGGTGATGTGGCAATGATTGAAATACCAGATGATGAGAGTCTGGGCAACAGCTTTAGCTGAGGGGATAGCTAGGAAGGGGTATATTTTAGATAAGTTATTCAAAAGTCTCAGCAGCCAAATTAATGCACTTGATCTGTGCTGTAATGATTCATTACACACTGTTCAGAAATCATATTATGTTATAGAACTAGAGTTCTGTTCATTGAAAATTCAGTTTTATGTGTTGTGCTC